CGCGTTCGTAGGATTTTGATATCGTCAAAAATGACTGAAAAACAAGATCAACGAATTTGCATCAAATTTTGCTTTCAACTCGGAAAAACGAGTTCGGAAACTATTGAAATGATGCAAAAGGCCTTCGGAACGGAGTGTATGAGAAAAACACGAATAAAAGAGTGGTATAAACGGTTCAAGGATGGTCGCACTTCTGTCGATAGTGATTCTCGTTCCGGCCGACCTTCGACGACAAAAACCGCAGATAATATTGAGCGGGTGCGACTTGTAATCGAACAAGATCGTCGTATAACTGTGCGAGAACTAGAAGAAGACCTTCGGATACCAAAAACTATCATTGCTGAAATTTCAATCGAAAATTTAGGAATGAAACGCGTGTGTGCGAAATTCATCCCAAAATTGCTCACAGGAGAGCGGAAGAATATTCGCTTATAAATCGCTCTGGACAATCTGGAAATGGTCAATAATGATTGTCATGTGCTTAGAAAAGTTATCACAGGTGATGAATTATGGGTTTATGGTTATGATCCTGAAACAAAACAACACTCTTCACAGTGGAAGCATTCTCAATCGCCAAGACCAAAAAAAGCACGTCATAGTCGGACCAATATTAAGTCAATGCTGATTGTTTTTTTCGATTGTGAAGGTGTTGTACATCACGAATATGCACTAACAGATCAGACAATCAATAAAGAACACTACGTTCAAATTTTGAAACGTTTTCGTGATGCAGTAAGAAGAAAACGGCCGCACTTTTGGGTAAGTGGTGACTGGCTCCTCCATCACGATAATGCGCCACGCATTCATCCAATCTTGTGCAGTAGTTTTTGAGCAAACACAATATCGCATTGCTTCGATAACTTTCATACAGTCCCGACATAGCACCTTGTGACTTTTGGCTGTTTCCAAAACTAAAAAAACCACTCAACGGACATCGATTCGATGACAAAACAACGGTCGAAAACAATGCGACGAGTGTACTTAAGGCTATCCCTAAAAGTGAGTTCCAGGACTGTTGTGAAAAGTGGAAACATCGATGGAACCGTGTTAATCAAGTGGGAATTTTTTTGAAGGATGCCACCCACCAGATGATAAAGAATAACGCTAGCACGAAAACATAAAGGTAGGCCTGATACTTTCCGGACAGACCTCGTATGTTAGCAGTAGTTGTTAATCTTGAGCCATTATTACTTTGGTTTAATTAGTCTCTTCCACTGTGATTTGTAACGGGGGCAGCGCCTTATTCGGCACTGACGTCACCAATTTATTAAGGGGAGAGTAAGAGAGGCACTTTCGCTCTTTAACAATCGGGGAACGAGAGGATAGGTCGAACGAATAAATAATTTTCCTTAATTAGAACATACAGCTTAAATCTATTCAGACAAACAAATACAAAATCGGTTATAATAAAGTTTGCATGACGCGCACATGTACAGAACAACTTAAACCAACGCGGGAGGATGAATGGCCCGGCGACTAAATCGCCTTGACCATTTGCCTCCTTACAAAGGAAAGAATACGTCGAAACCTCTCTACCGCATTACGATGAGCGTAGCCGGCAAGTGATCGCCTGGCTACCTATCGTTCCTACGCGGCCGCGCATCACCATGAGAGAGAGAAATACCGGGAGAGAGAAATAACCTGACCTTTGTCCTCGGCCATGAGCCGCAACGGGAAGTTGACCTGGCCGCTGGCTGGACGTCTTCCTCGGCGTAGCCCGTGGTGAACCCACTGGAAGTCATGCCGTGCATGGCGGCGAGGGCGACACTGAATGCCCTGCTGCAGGTGTTGCCGCCACACGTTGCCTCGGCTCGCCCTGGTCTGGTCACTCCTGCACGTGTGTTTCTTTTTCTCTCATTGCGCTGCTACTTCCAACTTCTCTCCTTAACTTTCTTCCGGGAACTGCCTCACGCGACTTGACGCATGGTCAGCATTCGCGCTCTCGCCGGGCTCTCCCACCAAGCCCACTCATTAGGCGGCGTGCGACAAAAGCGCTAATTGGTCGCGCGTCATACGCCGGCCCAAACCTGCATAGTGCGTGCATAAACGCGCACTCTAGCATGCTCGCTAACTCTCTCTCTCTCTCTCTGTCTCTCTTTACCTCATAGTCGCTGCGCTCTTGCTTCTTCGGGCGCTTTCAACCTTGCTCGGCAATCTTCGGCGGCTGGAAAAACATAAAGGCCAGTAGTTAGGCGTAATAAATATATGCGCCGAACGCTGACCACGTCGCCATGCCGAGCGATAAGAGGGAGAGAGAGAAGGAGGGCAGACGAGGAACAAGCGTACTGCTTGCTCTCGTCACAGATTATTGGATCATAAAGTGATATTTCTTTATTCGCGTTAACTATGGATTTCGTGTTTGTGGTTGCACTGCAAATGCTATTTTTATTAAAAATTCCTTCGATGTCTGTATATTCGTTTTTAGAGAAAGAAAACTCGAAACTAATGTTAATTAGGGGATCAGGGTCTAATAAAGACTTTGAATGGTTGCAATGAAAAGTTAACCATTTTGCTGAACTCTTTTCAAGGGTGCTGTCTTCTAATTTGGAATTCAAGAGGTTTGTTGAGTTTGCTTCCTCGTCAATGTTCACTAAAGTTGTTTTTTCGGCACCGACTAATGTTATTTTTCGGATAGAATGCGAAAGTTTGCTTCGACTTCTGAATAGATTATTTCATGAAATTACTCTTTAAATCTGGACTTTTTTTCACTTGTAGTCATGTCAAACGACTTTTTTGTCATTTATTAATAAATCAAAGCTTCCAAAACTCGTGTACTACGCAAGAAAAACGGGAGGAAGGAAAAGTATGTTGAAACAAGTGTCATTTGTTTGTACCAGAACCGCTGTTAATTTATGAACTCGGTAGTCCAGACTTATATAATATATTATAACTTATATATTATGATTTATTATAATCTATTTCAATTGATAACAACTTATCTGGTTTATTTATTGCGGATCAATTGGCTCCTTGGCTCCATCTCGATAAGGTATAGGCGAGGTCGATAAATAAGGATGCACGAACACTCAATATTCGATACTCAAATAATTATTTATTTATTCAAAATATTTCTAATAAATGACAAAGGATAAGTTGTGGATTATTCAAATAGCTGTTCAGCTGTGGAGCATTGCGAATCAACTGTCGAAAAGTTCGCTCGTTGTTTAGCGCATTGACTTTTTTGTTCTACATTAATATGTCGAGTAATCAGCAATTCAAGTTGTCGGGTAGCTCGATTCTCGGATTACTATATTTTTACTTTCGCTGAGTTCGATCGATTGCTACATCGTAAACTGTTAAATAAACGTTAAATATTACGTTTCGGAACATAATAATACTGAACCTATATTTATATTTAACTTGTATTGATTGGAAACTTGCTTGACAGTCCATACAATGAATAAATTATTATTATTAATTATCGAATATCGAGGGTTTGTGTACATTTATTTGTTAACCTCGTCATTTTTATTCAAAAGCTGAAGAGTGTCTAACAAAGAGATAAGGAAATAAAGCAGCATAATGTAGTAGCTAAGAAGCGAAGTAACGACAGAATCAATAACCCAGATCTAGCCGTATATAATAAATTTATAGTTTGAATGTATTAAAAAGCATAGTAAATAGGTCATATTGATAGAAAAACGAATATAAAACATTAGAGTGAGAAAGCAACTATAAAAACAAATAAACAAACTATAAATTTAAAGCATTGAGTCGAAAAGTAGCAGTGGTTTCGGTTTTGTATGGCTTATTTGAGTAAATACTCATGTACCGACAACGCATGCGCTGGCTAAATTAATACATATTGTGCATACATATACTGTAAGAGATATTGATTAAGGCATACGCCAATATTAGGGAGCGACCACGATAGAAAATAACAAGCGCGAACATGAAAAAGAAATCGGTCGAAAAATTCAAAAGCGCACCTACGATAAGCGTGTGTGCACACAGTGATAGAAGAAGAGTGGCACGTGACTCTAAGGAGTAGCATCGCTACAATGAGCATAAAATGGGAGCTACGATGCTGATTTTTCTCTGACTCGATTGTCGCTTTTCTCGCTGGAGAAATTCTTTTTGATGCGGCTCGATTTGCGGGTGTTGAAAATTGAGAATGTAGTGACTGTACGATCGAAAGTATATTCGTTAAGAGCTTATACCAATTCCATATGGCGGATCTAATGTGGTGGGATAAATGTTCCAAAACTAACGAATCTATTCAAATTTTAGTATATGAAGGTTTGGATTAACTCATAAATAAAGCATCATTCACGAGAACATGTTCAGAAACATTCTTACTTCGCTTGCTAGGAATAGTTATTGTATTATATTAGTCATTTTCACGATTAGCCATCAGAAAAGTGATTAAGTCGTTCAATATCTTTTTCATACGGGTAAAAATCTCCGCTCGAAAAACTTACGGATATACCTTCCAGTATATATACCTGGCATGAAAGTATGTTCTAGTTATAGAAAACGCAAATTTTAAGCAATCGATATGAATTCGAAACCTGATATCTTAAGCTCCAGTATTGATTCTCAATCAGAACAATAAGCTTCCTAATCTAACTTTACCGATTGGAATAATCTTTTGATATGTTATAGTTCATGAAAAAATAAGACATATGTGTTTTTTTTTCATCAGCGAAAAAACTTTGAAGGAATGACAATTGCCCTCAAAGTTCATCTCCAGAAATGAATTTTCCAAAGTATCTCAGCTTGTCATTAATATTTTACGATGAAACAAATTTCATATTATTTCTCATGTGAATACGAAACTAGCGCATGCATCGACCGTAAGAGGTGCGACCCTTACTTTTTTTTTAAAATTCTATCTTTTTAAGGATAGCTTCCTTTCTTTTTAGAACGACACTCAGAAATTTAGCTTGCATAGGCTTACTGTTTTCCTTTTTATTTGTCTAAATTATGTCATGTATAAGATTAATGTCATGTACAAAATTAATGCATAGTACAACGTTAATTTTTCAAATATTTTCCAGGCATCATCCTGAAGAACAGCGTGAAAGTGAAGACTTTGGCGATTGGTATGAAAGTGACAATCAGCGAGAGTTACGACAAATTTTTGCTGGCCAAAGCCAAATATCTGATATTGTTCGTAGTCTTAATAATAAATTAGATGATATTATTACACAACAGGAAAAAGCAATACGGTTAGTTTCACATGTCGACTTTACAGGTATGTTAATAGTAATAAAGAATAATTTTAGAGATATCATTTACCCATTTTATGCATGAAAATTATTATTTTTTAAATCGGATTATTTTTTATTGACGCTATTCTCGATCAGGCAAACCTTATTGAAGTTTCTTTAACAAATTTTTGAAATTTAGAATTTTATTGTAAAAATAAAATGAAGAAATCCAAACTAGATTACATTAGTATGAGGCCTGCGATGGCTCGGTCGGTAGGACGACGAACTCGCACCCGGTAGGATTCGAGTTCAATTTTCAGTACCTACTGATTGATACAAGCAACACTGAAAAAAATTTCATGTGCATTGTTGCTTTGAAAACCTTCGACGCTTATTAGCACTGATGGAAATAGAGCGACGTTAAACAAAATAAAAAAATAAGATCACATTAGTACACGATAATTAATAATAAATTACAAATTAATCAGTAAATAATGCTATGGTCAAAATAAGTACATATTGTTAACTAGTTTTACAAATCAAGGTCCATCTCAAATGATTATCATTACTTCTATCCCTCTCTATAATTTACGAATAAATTATCAATAACATGGGAAGGGGCAACCTAAATGTATAATCATTCAAAGACACATTTTTTATCTAGCAAAACGTCGAATTAGATAGAATTATGTGTCTTTGAATCATTAGATACTTGGGTTGACCCTTCTTACGTATTGTATAGATAATTTTCTTTCATCTTAAATATTCTGTGATAAATCATTAATTACTTTGTAAACTAATAATGGAATTATACATTTACTTTTTTGAAAATCCGGGATTATTTGTCCCACTCTTCAAAGAATGAAAAAGTAAAAATACGTTATACTATGTGTATCAAAGCAAAGAAAATAAATCATATAAAGCTGTTTTACAAAACATACATTGAAAATTCAACATAAAGAAATAGTTCTTTTTACAATTATAGCCAAAAAAGAAAAAGCTCACTTAATTTACGTAGATCGAAATCAAAATTTATTAAAGTATGTTATGGGAATTTTTTGATCCATTAATTGAAAGAATTATGCACAAAATGTTACTTGGATGATAACCATGGATATTCAGTTATTGACGAGGATAGAAATATAAATAATGTCGAAAGGGCTATGATATAATTTTAATTGCTTTTCTATGAATATATCACTATAGTAATGCAATATTTAGTTAATCAGTAATTGTTGAAGTGTCAACATGGATGTTCATCAACATCTACTAAAATAATGGTAAGAAAAGTAGAGCAAATTAAAAATATAGTGAATAAACAGTTGAATCGTTTCGATTTTTTTTTCAATTAAAGAACCAAATATTTTTTAGAAAAGAGCAAAACATAGAAATAGTTATTTTACTGTTAATGCTAGTGATAAATATGAAAACCTAGAATCTAGCAGTGAAGATACTGATACTATTATTACGCACAGCAATATATTTTACAACAATTTACCTGAAGTAAGTGAAGATGAGAGCCTAGTAATTGATAAATACGTGAATGCGCTGAATCGAAGTACCTCTAATTTTGGATTTGAATAATGGTGTAAGTAAAGAAAAAAATGGAACTTACACCGTTGATAACTCCATAATAACTTAAAGTTCTATAATAGAATAATAGTTTAGTACATTTTATCAATCATAGGTTTAATTAATTTTGTGCATAATTTTCCAGATATCATGAAAAAAGTAAAAGTTCATCGATTTTTGTGAACAAATGGGTGCAAATGCCATTTTTATAACCTATGAATATTAGTGGATGTGGTATATTTTAAACATCATAAAATGTTTCTCCATTATCTACTATACTTTTCACAAAAATAAAACTTATAGGCGAATAGACTGTTGCTAATACCTAGAGCTTAGAAATTATTTTGAAATTAATGTTATAGTGGCAAACAAGTTAAAATTATAATTTAATAATATTCATTATAATTACGAAACAACAGTTTTGAACTTAATCGAATAACATACTGAAATTCACGCTTTCTAATTATTATAAAAATCGTTAATTTACAATTTCTACTTCCTTTATTATTACACAGGTCAGCATGGTTTTGTATATTGACAAGGTAATATCCATTTCCGAAGTTATTTTCGTGTAGAACTCAATTCCGGACTCAGAATTATTCCATTACGTCAGGTTTTTAAGTAATCCTAAAACACGGTTTTTGCGAAAAACACCATATTTGAGCATCTATAACATCGCCATTTTTTGTTATTTTTCAAATCTGGAATAACCATCAGAAAGGGTTACTCTCCTCATCACTATTATATGTATGTTTAATTATTTTTTAAATCGAATATATCGTTGATTAAAAAGAACTAAATTAGAGGTTTCACAATGACCGATATGTGATCGGAAAAAATGATAGGACGTGTAAATTCCTTTGATGAATCTTTGTTAAACGAGGCATATTTACAAAAAATCTCAAATAGCAGATAGCTCAGTTTATAAAACCTTAATAAGCTATAATCCCATAACCTCAAACACAATAACATCAAGCCAACGACAGATAGAGCTCTGCTGTTGAAAAACGAAATAAACTGTAACTCCAAAAGGCAATACCATCAAACCCACAACAGGTAGGGCTTTGTTGTTTTAAACCCAAGTACACTGTTTCCTTAAAACACAATAACGTGGAACCCATTCAGAGATCCAGTATCCCAAGTAAAGATCAATTGTTTTCCAGGAACGGAAAACAAGATCTGTAATGTTTATTGTATCTATATTTTATGATAGTGTATTAAGAAATTTTCGAGTTTGTGAGTGTCTTAATCTTCGCTTTTTTGAAACTTTTTGTTTGTTTTTTAAAGACTTTGTGTTGGATCGTCTTTCATGTTTAGCGTTTAACTGATCTCGTTATAAAAACCAGCAGTAGTCTGCTAGAATGACTGCGGACCAATTTCCTTGGTAACGGGGCTCTATTTCCTTCATATCCTGATGGAAAAGCTCTCCTTGTTCCTCGCTAACATCACCGAAATTTTCCGGGAACCAATCAAGATGAAAATGCAATTAATATAATTTAGTGCTCATGTTGTAGCCCAACTCTTAGAAGCTTCTTAACATATTGTTGACTAGTTCCTCATAATCATTTAATTTTTAGTTGCCTAGGAATCGTTAGAAACTATTCCAAGCACTGTTTTCAAGATTGTTCATGACATTTTCAAAGTCAGTAGTTTTCATCAATTCGTGTATCTGTGGTCTAACGAATATACCTTCCTTTATTCTAGCATTGGTCAAACTGGGGAATCGATCTACAAGGTACTTGAAACAATCACCATTCATGTGTAGAGCTTTTACAAATTGTTTTATAAGTCCAAGTTTAATACATAGTGGAGGTAATAGAACCTGTTTATTGCCAATCGATGGATCTTTAGGAACGTTAGGGTCTCCAGCTTCGAGAGATTTACGAAGATACCAATCCTTTTTTTCATAATGCCGTTTTTTGTCTCTACTATCCCATAAACAAATGAAACGTGGATTTTTCGTATAATCAGTTTTTTGACCAAGAAGCATGGATATGATTTCAAAATCTCACATACTTTCCACTTATGATGATCATATTCAATAGCATTCAGAATAGTTTTTACATTTTCATAAGATTCCTTAAGACGTAGAATGAAGAATAGGTAAGAGAGCGTATTGATTTGTATTTTGCAATAGGACTGCCTTGAAACTCTTTTTAGAGGAATCAAGAAATAACCTCTAATCCATAACTTTATACGTTAATCTTAACTTTATACATTAATCAAGCCACATATGTTACTGTAATAAACATAATCCATTTCTTCAGAAATAAATTTGACCAATTCCTTTTCCCGATGTCTGTACCATGAAAAACTAGTTGAAGGGCGAGAAGATTCCTTTCCTTCAATCGCGAATTACTCGGATTTATCTTCAGGTAAGTTTAAGTCCCTCACCAAGTCATTAAGTGCAGCTTGAGTGAAAAGAATAGGATCAGAAGATTCATCATCAGTTTCTTCTCCTTTATTAGAACTATGCGCAAATTCAGTACTTTACTCTTTTACCCTCATGAGTGGAAGACTTGGAAATACGAGGTGTGATCAAAAAGTAAGGTGAATTTTTATTTTTCTCAAAAAATATTTATTTATTCATCAATTTTTATTTTATCTCCTTCAAAGTAATCCCCCTCGGATATAATGCACTTGTGCCAACGCTTTTTCCAATCCTCAAAGCATTTCAAAAAATCATTTTTTGTGATCTTGTTTAGTTCATCCTTCGATGCCGTCTTTATCTCCTCAATCGTGGTAAAACGCCGTCCTTTCATGGGCCTCTTCAGTTTTGGGAACAAGAAGAAGTCACAGGGGGCCAGATCTGGGAAATACGGTGCCTGTGGCATCGTTACTGTGTTGGTTTTAGCCAAAAATTCGCGCACAAGCAACGATGTGTGAGCAGGGGCGTTATCATGGTGCAAAAGCCAATTTTTATTTTTCCACAAATTCGGACGTTTCTGGCGGATTGCTTCGCACAAATTGCGCATAACTTGCAGGTAATATTCCTTATTTACTGTTCTACCCTGTGGCAAGAACTCATGATGCACCACGCCCCTGCAGTCAAAGAAAACTGTAAGCAAAACCTTTACATTTGATCGAACTTGGCGTGCTTTTTTTGGTCTTGGTGATCCAGAATGCCTCCACTGGGACGATTGAGTCTTAGTCTCGACGTCATAACCGTATACCCATGTTTCGTCACCTGTTATAACCCTGTTGAGTAAATCTGGATCATCGTTGACGTCATTCAGTAGCTCTTGGGCGATGCTCATGCGACGTTTCTTTTGGTCGAAATTGAGCAATTTCGGAACAAACTTCGCTGACACACGTCCTATGTCTAAAACACTCGTCAAAATTGATTGGCACGAACCAAATGAGATGCCAATATCATCAGAAATTTCTCTAATGGTAATTCGACGATTTCCCAACACTATTTTCTTCACTTCTTCAACATTCTCATCAGTTGTTGATGTGCTGGGGCGTCCAG